GTGGTTCCTGTAGTTTTCCCCCAGCTGCCAGGCGTCCTAGTTCACTGGCAAGGCCCCAGGTCAAGAGGCATGTGCTGTAATTCCCAAAGGTCTACAATTTCAGGGACAGTTCAAAATCCAGCAACCAGCTAACAGAGATAGAGCTATTACCTCCACAGTTTCATTCAGTCTTGCTTCATTCCCACCCAACCCCTGTACATAAAACTAGCAGTTACTCTTTAACAACTCTTCGTACTCTGCTATAGACTTGAAAAACAGAGGGGATAACCACTAGATCTGAAAGAGGGTGAATGCATTTTATTTGGGGGTGGGGGGATTGGGGATGTTCTTTCAGCAGCAAAAAAGTGCATGCCAACAGAAGTCATGAGGGATGGGGGGAGGGCAGAGTCACCCCAGAAGCCCTTGCATGCCCTTGCAGGGCACCACACCAAATCCAAAGTTATCACTGGGCTAACAAAGTTAGGTTATTTCAGACAGCATGTCAGATCTTCCCTAACTTTTGCCACTGAAAACACATTGGTGGAGTTTTACCAATCATTTTCAAAGATCTGATGAACACCTTCAGCTGCACAAAACCTCATGCTTCAATATCAACAGGAAACCCCAGCACCCTGTTATATGTAGGAGTTAGGTTTTGTGTCACCATACCAGGTTATGTGAAATTGCCCGAATCACCCATTTGTCTCCACAAGGTAGGAAGAACAAGAACTCAAGTCTGCAGGGCACAAAGGGCTGCCTCAATGGGGCTGCTAGAGATGCCCCACAGAACATAGGGCTTATTCATTTTACATATGCTTGGAACAGAGCAAAGCAGAAAAATGGCAGAATTAAGCTCCAGTCCTGTTCATGTCCACAGAAGGTGTGAGTCTGATGCTTACATTTTCTGCATACTGGAGAATAAACCTCAGTGAAATCAGAGGGACAAGAATTCTCACCAACATCTCTGCTGTTGCAGCATCTCCAGTAGTTTAGCTATCCAACCTCCACGAAGGAAAACCCATCCATTTCCAAAGCTGAACTCTTATGCCATCAGAAAGCTCTCCTTTGCTTTTAGCCAGAATTCCTCTTTTGCAACTTGAACCAAATGGATGGGGTCTTAACGCCTAGACCGTAAAATTTGCCACATCATCTGTGCAAATTTGCTTAGAAAAGGATGTGGCGCTGAGGGGAAGAGAAATGCCAGGAGTCGGTGGAAACTCCTCCTAAGACCATCTGAATTCAGGCAGACCTAGTAGACACACATTCCCATCGTGCATGTGCACAATATGCCTCCTGGCCATGATCCAGCATCTGTTCCAACGGGGCGTAGAGCCACAAAACATGCAGCTATCAGGAATCCTGTCCTCGCACAGCACGACCCACACACACTGCCTCCCCCCAAGGAAGTGGGACATCTTTGTCTCCTCCTCCCCCCTTCCAGTAAACAGAACAAGGGCAGAAACAGCTCCAACTAAGAACAGCTCCTCACAATTTGGACTCAGTAAGCAATAAAAAAGCCTTGAATATACAATGTAATCATGGACTGGCAAAGGTCCTCTTCCAAGCTACCCCATTTCCAAATTCTTCCTGATCAGCGAAGGATCGTTTGCACAGCAATGGTAAGGCAACACAGGCTTAGTGTCAGAACATGCATCGAGCAAAGGTCAATTTAAAAAGCTATAGCAGTCAATGGGTGTTTGCTTAATTTGATTCTGCCATTTGTATCTGGGGGGAGGGGATGGTCGTTTATAGCTGTGTTTGGGTTATTGCTATGAGGTGGAGAGGTGCTCAAACTGATATGGGAATTTACAGCAAGACCTGAAGGCAGACAAAACCGGTGGTAGCCTGAAGGCTGGAAAGGACTGTGTTATCAATGGGAGGGATGCACAAGGCCACCAGTCTCTGAGAAAGGATTTTGGCACCAATGTAGTAAAGGGGGGGGGAAAGTAGAGGGAACTTTACACAGGCTTTAGATTTAGCAATGCTTTGCTTCAAGCTGCATGTACCAACCCATAAAGGAGCATTTATCTGAACCACGAACCATTACACGAGAATTCTTCTAAATTGGGGTTTGGACTTTGTGGACTTGACATTTTTGCTAAAACTCCTTGATACTGGATTTTACCTGAGAGAGTGTCTCTACAAGGAAACTCCAGCAACCGACAATGGCCTCAGAGGAACTACAGAAAGTTTGCCTGAGTTACCAGCCAAGGAGAGAGACATACTGCAAATGGAGGCAGATCTTACCAGACTGGACCTTGGAGCAATTGGGGGAGACAGCTGGACAAGCTCCCCGCAGATAGCGGTCGAGGAGATGCATATTCCCCCTCAACCCATAGAAGCACAATTTGTGGTCAAACCGAAAGACCCAGCAAGGCGCCTGGCACACTGCTGGGTCCGAGCGATTTGAGCTTTCGGGATGTATCTGAAGTTTTCCCACCAGGGGTGCCAACACGTCCACGATGGTCAAGAGCCATGGGGGCAGTGACTGGATTTACAGCACCAGGGGATGAGGGGCGACGAGTGCGGGAGCTGGAAGGCGAAGTACGCGCCCTGAAGGAGCTTTTAAAACTTCGCGGTCAGCAGGAGGCAATGGGCAAGCTGGAGCGTACGGCTCTGCCTCCCGCACCACCGTCCAGACCCAGACAGGGGTTTGCGCAGCTCACCCAACCCTCCCCGACGGCCGCGATGAAGCCACCGACCCTTCCCCCTCCCCCCCTCCGGACCCACAACCAGCAAGGCAAGGTTGGGTAGCGGCAGGGGCGAGCCCCATAAATTGGGGTTTGCACTTTGTGGACTTGACACTTAGTCTACAAACCATGGGGGAAATAGTGCATCTTTTGGCTTATGAGCATTCTTAGATTATGAGGCTAAGAAAGAATTCCTGCTGGAAAGCAGGTTAACTGGGGAGGCTATTGCAGCCTGGGGTGAAAAGTGATTATTTATCTTGCATCCCCAGATACTGGAAATTTGACCACCTGCAAAGTTAAATTAACATAAAAATGTAGATCAGCACAAAGCAGAATCGTGATTTGTAACAATTCTCCCCTCCATTTTGGGGGTGGGGGTAGCTGACCCATAACTACACTTATGAGCACTCCTGTTTATCTTGGCCCACGTGCAGAAATGCACATGGCGTATCCATGACCCAACCCAGGGCCACACACGAACTAGCTTAAGTGCTTTCCGGCTGCCCATTCTTTTCAATGGAAAGAAAAACCCACTCAGCCCAAGGACTTGCAGGATAGTGACTGGCCCTCTTGAAAACAGCACAGAAACCCTCACAGTTGGGGTTGGGAGAATCCCACATATTTGGGTCCCCAAAATGTATGACTGCTGAGCAAGAAGAAAATTCTCTGTACTTCCTGGAAGATCATCCCCACTGGGAAGGCAAAGCTTGAGTGCGGAGGCAGAAATTTCCTTTAAGACACCCCATAGATAGTCTCAGTCCTGCTTGTGGGTGGAATTCCATACAGTTCTTCACCAAGACAGTAGAATCTGGGCTGGAGGAGACAGATCCTTGCATCCCTTCACTTCTCCAGGTGTAGCCTCTTCTAATCCACAGCTAATGGGGAGAAGCTTCCACAGAGCTTGGAAATTCCCACAAAAGGAAACTGTTGCTTGCCTTCACCAACTGCTCACAAAATCCATCTTAGTGCTATGCTGACCGTGCTTCCAGGGTCTGCTTTTTTAAACTAAAAGCATGGCCCATTCTTGTCTCCACTGTCCCCAGTGAAGGAGCCTGTTTTGCCATTCTTTCAGGCCCCACTAGAATCCAGCCCACCCCAGACAGACAAAGAAGCCCTCCACTCCATCTTCCTTTATGTACCAGCATGGCCTTTAATAGAAACAGGTAGTTTTTTTTCATCATTAAGCCATAGTTACCTTTTTAAAAACCAGATCAAAATCAAAAATTAAAAAATAATCCATAAAATGTGGTATAAAAATTCTTTTCCATATGCTACATTACAGAGCAAGATCTTCTGCTACACAAATATGTAGATCTCCCATGTTTAAATTTTATTTACTCCTTTAGTACAAAAATGCCAGAAGATGGGTCTCCCTCCCCGCTCCCTTCCCCACACACAATTTTTGCTCAAGCCAACAGGCTGAAACATAGATTGCCAAAAGCCACAGAAATCCCACTCTCCACCACCCCATACAGAAACATGTTTGTTAGTAAACTTAAAAAACAACAACTTGTATTTAAACATTATCATCTATTACTTTACTTTCATTGGAGTAAAAAAAAATCCCGCCACAAGTTGCTATTATCTTTTTCTTGGCTCCCTGAGCGTATTAGTTTAAACGTTGCTTTCTTGAACACCCCCCCTCCCCCCAGTGTTCGGGTCTGAAGGCTGCGATGGGCAAGAGCCCGCAGGCATCCTGCTGCCCCAATGGACAAGTGCTTTACAGACGTCTCGGAAGACGGCGACTTTTCCACTGCCGTCAGAATGAAGAGAGAAGGATCCAACCACAAACTAAAACCCAGCCCAGAGAAGTCTCGAGGCCAGAGGAGCTGGTTCACACATCCAACAGGAAAAACACATTTCATGGAGGACACCTTTGCTCAGGCTGGGGACAAGGTTGGTAGAATATCTCCAAGCAGATTGGGGATGGGGGAGGGGGACATGATGGTGGTTACCACCAGAATGGAAGCAAAACCAAAGCAGTACATAGTGAGGGCAGACCAAAGAAGCAGCAGCAGCAGCAGCAGCAGCAGTAGAAAAAGGAGGAGGAGGAGGAGGAGGAGGAGGAGGAGGAGGAGGAGGAGGAGGAGG